AGCAAGACACAAGCACGGAGAGACGTCATCAGTGACAGACGCGGCCCTTCCCGTTTCTCTCAAAGCAAAGCAGGCTGCGCCCCGGGGCCCTCCCCACGTTTCAAAGCACGCGCCGCGATGGCACGGGCCATAGGCGGCAGCAGACCAGAACAGCAAGGGCGGCCGAGCCAACAGCCTCGGGGCAGCTGGGAAAGGCTCTTCCCTCCCGGCCAGGAGGAGATGCGAATTGCAGTGCGGGACGGCTCCGGCCAGGGTCGAACCATGCTCGGGGAAACATAACAGCCACTGGGAGGCCCGTCTACACCCCAGGGTGTGTGCTTTCCCACTTGCTATTCACCGTCCATCACACTCGTCCCTCCAGATAGTCGTTCACTAATGCATGCTTTGGAAAAAATCAATTTTAATACGTATGGTGATAACCATAAAGCCTTTTCCTGCGGGAGGAATCTGTTTTAAAAGGTGATGCACACCGGGCGCGGTGGCTCACGCCTGTCATCCCGGCACTCTGGGAGGCCGAGGCGGGACGATCGCTCGAGGTCAGGAGTTCCAGACCAGCCTGAGCAAGAGCGAGACCCCATCTCTACTAAAAATAGAAAGAAATTAGCTGGACAACTAAAAATATATAGAAAAAATTAGCCGGGCATGGTGAGGCATGCCTGTAGTCCCAGCTACTCGGGAGGCTGAGGCAGGAGGATCCCTTGAACCCAGGAGTTGGAGGTTGCTGTGAGCGAGGCTGATGCCACGGCACTCACTCCAGCCTGGGCAACAAAGCGAGACTCTGTCTCAAAAAAAAAAAAAAAAAAACAGGTGGTGGAAGAGACACATGCGTCTAAGTGGCTGCTGTTCCCCTGGCGACAGGGGACAGGGCTATCCCAAAGAGGTGAAGTGAACCTCACCCCACCTCTGGAGTCCTGACCGGGAGGAGGCCACGCCGGGGCCGGACCCCTCATGCACGCCCAGCTCCGGAAGGGTCCTGAGCCGCCAGGCCCTCGTCCCCGGCACGGTGAGGCCAGCGCTCCCTGCAGCCGCCCGCGTGGGTAACAAGCCGGGGGCACCAGGGGCTCTGCCCCGTCTGCCCGTCCACTCGCTCCCGGGGGGGCCGGCATTGCACCGAGGGCCAGGGCCGGGAGCGCTCACCCCCGACACCCCACCCACGACACCCCACCCACGCCGCTGGGCACGGAGAAAGGCCACTGTCGCCGCGACTGTGGGGCGGCGCTGGCTGCCCTGCGTGCTAGACCCGCCTTTGTCTCGTCCTGCAAACGCCCCCAGCACCAGTGTCGCCCCTAGCCTGCACCCCGCAGCAGTCCCTGGGGGGCAGGACGTGCCCAGGAACGGCCCCCTCCTCCGTTCCCCCCGGGGAGCGGTGCCTTGCTACTTCCCAGCGCGGGGGAGCCGGGCGAGGGGCGCAGGCCACGCCCGAGACTCACAGCTCCGACCCCGGCTGTGTGGCCGCGGGGGACCTGCCTGACCCCGCTGTGGCTCCGCTGCCCCACGAGCAGAAACACGGAAATCGCCGTGGCGAGGACACGAGAAGATGCACAGACAGCATCCAGGAGCCGGTATACAGCAGGCGCTTAAATGTTATCTGCTATGTCCAGTGGGCGTGAGCGTGGCTCTCCCGGCCTCCCCGCCCGCCCAGGGTACTCACCTCTAGCAGCTGCACGGCGCCTTCATGTTCTTTCTTGGCTTCGACCTGAGCCTTTTCGTGGTAGAGAGAGAGCGGTCAGCGGGGGAGAAGAGAAGCAGGTCAGTGTCTGGATTGTCGGGGGGCGGGGGGGGTCATTCATTCCCGGTCCCCTAATAAGCCCCTGCGCTCTGGGGTCTTGACCAGTTTCCATTCCTTGTTTCCCCGGGGCCGGACGGACAGGTTCTGGCGGGTTTGATGCTCACTGGGGAAACCAGAAACGCGTCCCACCCTGGCGGGAACGGGCAGAGTCGCGGGACTTGGCCGGGGGCGGGCGGGGCGGGTCCCAACTGAGAAGGGGCCACACAGGGAGGGACGGCCGTGAAGCCAGAGCGCCAGGGTGGCCCTTCCCAACCCGCCCCTCCCGCCGGGCAGCACCTTCGTCCCTCAAGTATCCCAAGAATGGAAAAACAAGCACCAGATATATTCTCCAGCAAACTGGTATTAACTGAGTAGCACCTAAGTGGACA